ACATGTGTCTCTTGCAGGGATCAGGCACATCGCCATCAGCAAAAAACCACTGCTACGACAATCAGTGCAAATTAAAAAGTTTTTAAAAATGCAAACTTAAATGCATTAATGGCAAGCCTAAGCTGATTGTAGCATGCAAGTAATATTAAGAACTTAAGGAGGGCAGGTGTGGAGCGAACTATGTGTGGATGGATGTAGAAATAGAGCACTCACGTTGCAACTGACGTACGAACACGTGAAATTTGGCGTAACTCCGCAATCGAAGTATCCAGAGCACTGAATTTTTTGGGCATGGATTGGAAGTCATTGTAATAATTTCTAACTGTCGTGGCGGGCAGTCAGGAGTGGAGCGAACTACGTATGGATGGATGTAGAAATAGAGTTAATGTGAAAGAACTAAGTATGAATGAGTCAAGACCTCATTCCATACAATACAAGGCAATTGTTGACAATTTTTGGATATTTCATTGTTGCACGATATGTAAATAAACACTTACCAACGGGATCAAGTCGTTTTCCTTAGCGGGCGTATCAGTGAATTCCAAAACAGACGTTATATCACCGGTTCCGATCCATCCGTAAACTCTTCTAAAATAAGCCTGCTTACAATTGTAAATTTCTTTTCCCAGTACTGCCTATTAAGTTAACCCCCCCCCCCTTTCGAAAAAAAAAAAAAACCTATCACAGAACAAAACACATGGACAGCAAACATCCCCATAAAAAATAGGTTCCAATCGAGTCAAAAGTACGCCAACAGCATTTGAATTTGGACTTTCACTTATGCGTAGGCAAAATCTGGACAAATCTTGAAACGGAATGCAAAATTTTTTTAGATCAAACATGAACAGAGAATATCCTTGCAGAAATTTCAGCCTTCTGACATAACTAGTTTCAGCTTTTATAGAATCACAGAGCATTATGCGTGAATTATTTAGCTTACGCAATGCTTTAAAGGTATATTTTAGTAAAATTAATGAAAATATCACAAAAATTGAAATCAAATAGCAAAACAAAAATGTTTTAGCCCTTGAAGCCGTATACATTCTTGCTGAGCACTACAACTGGACTTCGTCAGTACGACGACTGTGATCTCAAATGATTTTATAAAAGACATATGTCGAATATATTCAAAAACGAGAAAGTATGGAATTCAGGAGATTCCTGTTTACGTTCAATCTTGTAACAAAAAAAACTTTAAAAAGAGGATTATCGAAGAATGAAATTCGGTTTCAGAGTCAAATGAACACACTTCTTTTCCATTCGGATATCTCTTCGAATTTTTTGAATATTCGCATGCACTCCCATTACTGACATTATTTCCGAGATATTCTCTGAAACGAGCGCACTTTTAAAACAGAGATAATGATAAATGGCCAACGTAGTGACTGCCCGTGCGAGGATGCGTTTTTTATGCGTTTTGTGCTGCGTAACAGCAGTACAAAACGCATATTGTCACGGGGCTGTCTGTGTGTGTGTGTTCGCAGCAACTTGTCCGCAACTTTCAACTCGGGAACCACAAAAGCTAGGAAGCTGAAAATTTAGGGTACCCACGTGTGACTCCGCAAATTTAAATTCATCTTCCCCGTACCCGCGGGTAACGCGTACGGCCCTGTGAAAGTTTTTTAGCTTCCCCGTACCCGTGAGTAACACGTCTGGTCCCGTGAAAGTTTTTCTACGGGTAGGGTAATGACTCCTTGCCCATTCAAATTCAGCGGTAATGACTCCTTGCCCATTCAAATTCAGCGTTTTCACGCTCTCGGGTACCCACCTACGGGCTAGTGAAAATTTTTGGCGGGTAAACTATTAACTCGCGAATCGCGGAAAGATATTCATCCTTCGAGGTTTCGAATTCAGCTTTCATGCGCTGGTGCGTGAAATTTTTAA